CTCATAGCAAAGCAAAAATAAGGAATTGGAAAATGATAAAGTGCTTTTTTATATGTGTGTGTCAAACCCTTTTCACTGACAAAAAATGAAGGAAAATTATTTTTGGTCCCGAAATCGAGTGGACCGCCTTTAGCGGGACTGCCACTTAACTATGGTCAGCCTACTGACCTGACACTGCCAAATTGTAATACTAATAACTGACTGCGTCGCAGACTAGTAGGTGCCGGTAAGGTTTGTACCACTGGATAGCTTTGCTTATCGGCTCGTTTCACTCATTACCAAAAGGTGAAAGTTAACTGCAGAAAAGATAGGGAAACACTAGGATAAAGTAAGATAACGACTGATCAACCTTTCAGTTATTGTCTTATCATAGTGACGTAAGAACACAAGACATAGAAGTCCGCTTAGAACTTCCAGAATCTGACAGAAGAATCAAGATAGTTTTTAAATTATAAATTTTGGGCCATCAAACTCGGCCTGGTATAGCAATGAGAGGCTTTTCTGAATCTTCTCTTTGAATGAAATGGCAATATTTCCTCTGATGTTGTAGTTAAGTTTGTTTTAATGGCCTCAAACAAGCTGAACAGGTAAATTTTTCGTCACAACAAACAGACCGTAAATTTTCCAAACGAGCGATTCTTAATTTTGCTCTTAAAAGAAGTCTTCATTCTTACCTAGTGAACCAGCAGCCATGTTTTTAGTCTGATATATTGTATGGAAGTCTAGAGAATCGTTGACTTCAAAACGCAATGTTTCTATGTCCAGTGATTGGGAAAATCAAACATGAAGTATAGATACCGTTTTAAGTACACTAAAATGAGTGGCCAAAAATAAAATCTGTTCAACAAAATGCGCAAAATGTAGAGATTTTTGGAAATGAAATAGTAATAAGCGGTGTCCATATGTACGTCACGCGTACTTACTTTTGAATTTTTGTTTTCTAACAGGAACAAGTTCGCTGTTTCTCTCGAGGCTTCCACACTACAGAATCAAGACAGTATGGTATTGTCCCTCCACAAGAAGCTAGTGCTTTGCTTTACAAGCCTTGGAAGAAGCATCATAACAAGAATAAGAGAGAGAAACTTCGAAGGCTTGTTAAAAATTAAAAATATTGCTTGCGGTGTTTTTCTCAAGCCTGGTTTTCACCAGAGACGCAAGCGCAAGAATAAGGTGTTTATGCCTAATGGAACGAAGGAGGAGCTACGGCTTTTATTTGACGCTTGTGCCTTTTAATTTCTGTGTTTAAATTCCCTACACTTTTTGTCATACAATATTCTACAGTTCCAAACGTGGGAAAACTTTTCATCAAAATCAACCGCGGCCTCTGCAGATTTGTTCAAATGGGAGGAAATCTGGAACGAGTGTTTTAATTGGCCAGACTGTGCTAATGCGGTGTTTCGTTTTCACATGGCATAAAGCGAACGCAAGCACAAAGAAAGGAAGCATTTTAACCCTTGAGCTTGCGCTTGTGTTTATCCTTGGGTCAAGGACGTTTTTACAGTGACATAAGAGCTGTGCTTGTGCTTGTCGCTATAGTGAAAACAAGGCTTTAGTGTGTTTTAGTAAAATCAATAAATCTCTATTTAACATACTTTGCATGAGTTTTCCGTGGTTTTTGTCTCACTTTTCTTTGTTATTTTACTACATGTTATTGAAGAAAAGGACCGAATCATTCGATCAAAACGAGTTCGTTTGATTTCCTGTTGATCTCACGGGAGTAAGAAAAAAGCGATTCTTTTTTTTTCTAGCTCCTATTCTGACCTTTTCTGTAATGATTCTGACCCCTAATGATCCCTGGTTTCTTTTTTGCTTTTGTGTTTGTTGTTTGTTTTTTTTTAACCTGAACTCGAAATGATCCCCCAGTACTTTTTTGTAGGGATCTTGAAATCACTACTAAATACTGATTATGTCGTTCTAATAAGTGCTGTATTGATTAACAGATGTAGAATTTTGGAATTGTTTCTGTTATTTCGTGTTCTCCATTTTTCTTCCTCTATTTCCAGTAAGTTTAAGCCGAAAAAGTGGTTGAACTGCACTGTTTGTTTGTTTGTTACTCCGCTTTAGCGTGCTTTATCGAGTTTTTATGCCCGCGGGAAGTGAGGGGCATGAAAGAAGCGTAAGAGTCGCTCTCCAAACTTTACAAGTGCGTCGTAGCTCTTACATTTGTTTTGAAATCAAAGATGATCCTTGTGATCTGATTTGCTTTCAGCAGCGTGATTTATTCACAAATCGCAATTCTTTTTGCTCTAAATTTGATCTTTTTTCTATTTTGCATACAAAATGAGACGTAAAGCTTTTCCTGTTCCGCTTTTTAACGAACCCTCTACTGGATTATTGGTATACTGGCCAAAACCCTGTATTTAATTCAGGATCGATGTAATAAAGTGGCAATTGACATCTGTGTCGTGCAATTTTGATTTGAAATCGTCTAGTCATTTCAATTCAAGTCCGCGTCCTCGTATAATTTCAGACCACTGTTGCACTCCATTCAGCTGAATTATCAAAACAAAAAAATTATCCTTGCAAAAAGGTCACACAAAATATTAAAAGCTAGGTATTTTTTCCACAATCTTGAACCCTCTGTGCCCGCTTGATGACTTACTGTGTGTTACTGCAGTTAGCAACCGAAAAATGCCATCTATTTAAAATTCGCATGAGAGGGTGAGTGCTTATCTTCATCTTAAAAACTGTACGAGGCTGGAAAATGATTAGATTGCGGTATTTGCATCACTGATGTATACAAGTACGAAAACTAGTAATGATGGCGCGAGGGAAGATAGTTACGTCATTGTGTTAGCTGAATTGAGTGCAAACTGAAATATTCCATTATTCCAATTCAATTGAGATCCCCTCACCTTCCCTCCCCCTTTTCAAGGTCAGGAAATCCAACATTGTTTGGGGGGAGGGGTTAAAATTGTGGAGTTGTGGGGTAAAATTCGTGTCAAGTACTCCAGAATAGCAATATGTTTCCACACTTTTGTCGCCCATTGTAATTTTGACAACCGAAATAAACGCTTATCTAGCTAAAGAAACCCTCTTGAAAGTTTAGCGTGGTCCTCAGACGGTCCGAGTCACTCCCTCTTCTTCCCCGTCGGGGAAAAATGGAAGAAGATACGGAAACAATAGATCGTTTTCACGTGACGTCATCATAAATTATGGAACCACCAAAGTGTTTATCCTCATAAATTTATATCTGTTTAGAGTTTTACAACTCAATACTGTGCTTCGTTTGGAAACCCGGCAGCGCATTTTAAATTTCAGAGTTATGCCGGTGCGTGACACAGAGTTACGTTCGCGTTTGTCGAAAAATAAATACTTATGTAATGATTTTTAGAAGTTAGAGCATTAGGAAAACTGCTTATATAAATGCTTGTTTGTTCAATGCAGATAATCAGGTGTCGTCTAGATAGCCAAAGTAAGTTTTAGATGTTTACACTTTTTTCCGGCCGCCATTACTACCATATTGTTGTACCATGACGTTTCCATGGTGGGCTCTGTAAATTTCTGCGAAACATTTCGACGAATATCTGAAGTTTGGGAAAACGTACAGACTAAACTTGGAGAAATGTCTTCTTTATTTATGTTTTATAACATCACAATTTCTTGACTTCCACTGAATGGTTAACAATCTTTTTTTTTTTATTGCGTGACAGTTAAAACAATCTATCTTGACCTATCTTGACCAGCAGCTTTTCAAAAAAGAACAATTTAAACTTAATGAGGATGACTCGGTAGACTATTTCAGCTGCCCATTTTTCCTGCTATAAATTTTGTTGTTGTTTTTTTGTTATTTTCTGTTTATTTTTTGTTTATGTTTGTTTATGTTTTTATTTATTTATTATTTATTTGTTTTTGCATGTGAAAAACCTCCTTGAAAGACCCCGAGGATGACCTGGGCACGAGAATGTAGACCGTCAATTATTTACGGGACACGTTTGCATACTGTCTTTGTCTCTCGTTGATCATGGATCGTTGGTTAGAAGTTTTCATGGTTTTTGCTATCATTTTCAACGTGAGCAATGGTGAAGAAGAGAAAGTAACGATCAAGGTCGAATATAAACCACCAGAAGAAAAATGCCAGCGAAAATCGAAGGACGGGGATTTCCTTGCGATGCATTACACAGGACGTCTCGAAAGGGATGGCTCGGTGTTCGATTCCAGTCACAATCGCGGGCATACTTTTGATTTTACAATGGGAAAAGGTATGGTAATCCAAGGTTGGGAGCAAGGACTCAAGGACATGTGTGTTGGAGAGAAAAGAAAACTTAGGGTTCCAGCACACCTGGGTAAGGACTCATTTGTTTCTTGTTAGCTTCTTAGTTGCTGAGTGTCGGAACGCGTAGGAGTTGCTAGCGAGATTGTTGGAACCCATTGACTCACTACCCTTGCCTATTTCTTGCACCTTTCCAACTGATTGCAGCCCAGTGGCCAAAGACTTCATTGAAGAGAGAACAAAACATTCCCTTTCACTTTTGAAGCCACAGAAGGTCGCCTACAAGCTTAGCGATTAATTCATCAAACAGAGAACTATTATTGGCTGGTAAAACAACGAGTTCTTTTAGTTAACTTTTGGTCACTTTTAGGCCTCGGGGAAACAAAGCTCACTGTTTCTTCACAGTCATCTAGTGTTTTGTTATACGACCTAAATGAAGAGTCTGTTGCCTTTATTCACCAGAAAATGTTACTAACGCCGAAAACTACTTGAACCATTAATTTCATTGAAAATTTGAACACTGTTTTTCAGAATTTGCATTGAGATATCCTAGTAATTCAACTTCTGCATAAACAAGTGGTAATTAACAAGAATTATTGGACAAGCTAGTTGAGGGTTATTTTCCTTCTAATTTTTTGTTTTGTTTTATTGTTGTCATTTTTTTACAAAGGCCTACTAAAGCTATGTTGGAGCAGGGCCTACAGGCTGTGGTCTAATTGGACACACTTTATTTATGAATGTGAGGACTTGAAGTTAAGGTTACTCCGAACCTTCGTGGGTGAAAAAAATTCGTACACATGCTGTTTTCAAGGAAACTCCTACAAACTAGATATCAAAGGTTATGAAATGTAGAAATTATTCGATAAAATTATATTCTGTTTTTGTGATTGCTTAATTCCTAAGGTGGCAGAAGCCGTTAACACCAAAATGACCAACTGAATAATAAACATGTCACACCTTCTCAGAGGGATATGTCAACTCAAAAAGCCACCAGCCAATGAAATAACAGAGCCCCTGGTGTTCAAAGTATGCAAACTGGAGCTTTCCAGGAAAGCGATAGTGTGACAGGCACATTTTAGGCGCACACGTATGAGGCTGGTGGTCAACAATAATGGGCAAAACAGAAAGAAAGCGATGTGCAACAAAACAAAAAGAAACTGAGGAGAAATTGCCAAAGCATGACTAAAAGGAGGCACTCTTGACGGACATGAAATCTAAAATTGAAAGTATTCAATACAGAATCTCTGGATTGAGCAGTTTGCCATGAAAAGGTTGCTGAGGAGTCCATGTCTTTTGGGGTTCATGACACCTTGACAGTTTTGACTTTTATAAAAAAAAAAAACCTCTTTTTCCTAAAAACTCGCATGTGTTTTAATATTTTATTTTCACTTTTTGAAAAATGTTACCTTAAAATAATGAACTTTAATTTTGTTGAAAAAAAAAAAAAGAAATTTGCCAACAGTAGCCCCAGGAAGGTTTGGAGCAACCTTAACGTCCTCAAACCTTTGGTACCCGCCAAAGTTGATCAAAGCCACTATCAACCTATTCATTACCAAAATCGTTATGGACAATGTACAGAGCGATGCACTCGCAAACAATGTTTCCACTCCCAAGATCATGTTTTCCAATCCTTTCATTAACCAGAACTTTAGCTGTGGACAACTCAAGGAGACTACTACAAAGTCATGGATCAAATGTCAGTGTTGCTTTACAACCAGCTTTCATGATCAAGAAAGTCGTCAACATCATCAAAACCCGCGAACCAAAAGCGAAGAAAATTAACAAACAATGTGTTGTTTATTATGCAAAGTAGACTATGTTGGTTTTACAAATCAATACCTTGAACAACACATTAATAAACACACCAGCTCAAGATCTTTGATTGGAAAGCACATGAAATTACAACACAGAGTTGAAAAACCATCTATTTCAGATAATTTCTCCATCCTAAAAAAAGTGGTGGAATAAACTCAACTGCTTAATGTATGAAATGTTTTTCATAAAAGAACTAAAACCATCAGTTAAGGTACAGTCTGACTCGATTTGCACGAAGTTATTTGCTGATGATTAGTACACTTACATACTTCACCCATACTGGAATGCAAAGCATCTCAAACTCAACTCTTACATAACATTGACATGAACGACCTCAATCTGAGAATGATGTTTGTAACATTGAAATGTTGATTGACATTACTTTTAATCTTTCTTGTCAAATGCTTTAACAAGCAACTCATTATGCAATCTTTTTTTGTTTGTTTTTGTTTCTGTTTTGCTTTTCACCTTTCACTTGTTTTTGTCACTCATATAGTTTTTGTGAGTGATTAGAGGAGACTGCCAGTTTGATTCTCATTTGATGAGACTCTGATGATCTGATTCAGGGTTCAAACTTTCTCCTTAGCTTAAAATACTTTTCTTTCAAATTATTGCTGGCACTCCTCACAGTAGATGTTAATAATTGCTTTACTTTCAAACTGTGTTCAGGTTACGGAGATCGGGGAGCTGGTGATGTTATCCCTCCAGGAGCCAATCTTTTGTTTGATGTTGAACTAATGGAAATTAGAGCTGGAGAGGATGAAGACGATGGTTCACAATCAGCACCAAATGTGTTTGGCATGATCGACAAAGATAAAAACAATGAACTAAGTATAGAAGAAGTCAAAGAGTATTTGAAGGAACAGCAAGGATTCCCAAATGAGGATGAATCTAACCATGAAACTATTTTATCTGAAATATTTGAGCATGAAGACAAAGACAAGGATGGGGTTATTTCCTTTGACGAGTTCAGTGGCCCAAAACATGATGAACTTTAGTAAAAAAGTTGAGTAGTAAAATTGAGTTCTTTGTTTATACTCTTAGCTTATGTACAGCCACACTCCTGGTGTAGGGCTGATGCCCCCAGTGGAATTTTTCCACTTTTAGATATATTGAATAGAACTGTATCTAGTCAAAATTGTTTTCTAAGTGCTCTGTATGGCAGATGAAACATTAATACATCAATACAATCTTGGCTGATACTGCGATTATTATTGTGTATTTATATTCAAACTCCAGCCGTAAATTTTGTAAACAATTTTGCCATTCCAAACTTTGCCATCGAGTTAATTACATTAAATGTTTGAATTTGTTCATAACATGATTCTTAGTGCAGTTTGTAATAAATTATGAGTACAGTATCTATCGTTGCAAATTTTTCAAAATTGTATGGATCATGCAGTAAGTGCCATTTTGTAGTCTTTCAAGAAAGTACAAGTGGTTTCAATGATTCCAAATTGCACAAGAAAGCTCTTGTGATTAGTTTCAGTAGTGCAGGGCTGGGTTGATCAAAGCCTGATTAAGCTAACCCCATATTAGTGAGAATTTTGATTTCAGTTTTGTAATTTTTTGGTGAAGTTTTCTGTTTACATTGTCTGTGCTTTTGTTTTGAGTTTGAAAAATCTCAAACTACACAAAATAGAAGCAGTGAAAAACATTTATACCATGAAAAATAGTACCTGGTCAGATGCATACAACTAAGCAAATATTACTCTAAGGTTATGAAATTTCATTTGAAATGTCCAAACCAAAAATGCAATGTTTGAGTTCAAATTCAAACTTTCTTCAGTGAGAAAACATGAAAAGTACGTTAGTAGGATGTTAGCCCATTGCATGGTTGCCCCCCCCCCCCCCCCCCCCCCCCCCCCCCCCCCCCCCCCCC